AAGTGACAGTGATAGGAGAATGTCTGGGCTGATTTAGAAATGTGAGGATGAACAGAGGAAATACTTCCAGAAAGGATATTGAAAATGGAGGCTGCTGGGGAGGAGGAACACAGAAAGACTGAAAATAAAACGTCATGGATATAGTTAGGTGGGATACAGTGAGGGATGGATGATGGAATGGATATAGAGTGATGGTTGCAGATTATCAGCTGAGGCTTCCTTAAAACAGATCATCTTGAAAAAGGAACAGATAGACAGAGCTACGAACTGCTTACATTAAAAACCCACCACAAGTTTTTCTTTCCAACATCAACACATAAATATACAATTTCTGAAACTTTCAATGAGGTAAGTATCAATAAAATTCAGAAAGATCACAAATTGAACTAGTTTTGAATCTCTTCTACAATCCATTAAACAGATGCATTATTGTACTGTGATTAAAAGCAGTCTCAATCGTGTTCCTCAAATCCCACTTCCCTACGTGTTTTAGGTGTCTCCTTGCTGCCCGCACGCATGAATTAAATAAATCAGCCATCTGCAGCACTTGATGGTTGCTGAGAATTCTATGTAATCATTCGAATCAGTTGTGCTGCAACAGAGAGCCGTCTGAAACACATACTGGAGGACCAAGATTAAGAACCTCTGCTCTAAGGAAAACCTGCAGATATAAATGGATCCTTGAAGGTGGCAGAACTGAGGTTTTAAACACAAGTTTCATGTGAAGTGATGAATATTTTCCATTTAGCAAAATCTTTACCAGAGTGTTTTAAACTAGAAGTGGAAAGTGTTAAAAGATCTTATAAAAAATGTACTAATTCCTTCTTTAGGGCAGATTTAACTGTAGTTTCCTCACAGAAACTTCCTGCGAAGGAAACAAATGATGCTTAATACTCTGAGGAGGATAATGAGGATAAGTCATCCGTCTCTGGTGAAGACTCATGAGTCCCTGCTGACTGTAGGTGTTAATTATGACTATGATGCTTGTTTTGCCAGAGTTCATTCCTTACAAATGTACACACCTTTTCATTTACACATGCACTTGAATAAAAGCTCAAGGTATTAGCGCAGCTTTAAAATCGATGTGTAAACATTTCAGGAGAACAACGCTGACAGAAGATGAGCAGCTTCAGAGAGCCTCATCTGCTCTCACATCACTTTCTGCTTCACAACCTCCATTTACAAAGAGAAGAAAGCACATTTATCCATTCATCCATTTATTCACAGAGGCATTCATTTCTACATTTCTATCCTACATCTTTGACACATGAACAGACCCAATTATTCAGCAAAACCAAACATTCATCTTTACTCAGCACAAACAAGGTTAACTGTGCAGAAATGGCTTTAACGAGGTACATGCATCCATCGCCCTTTGCTTGTTTTTCATGCTGTGTTTGTTTAAAGTGAAGAAGGTGCGCTGTGGTGCTGTGCAGAGCTAAAAATCAATGAACACTGGATGAAAACATGGCTGCAGAGCTGAATCATTTTCTAAATGAAGCTGTCACATCAGTCACTTTGTTTTCCTACAGATCAGACCAGCTTCTACTACATCAAAACAATCGGTTGATTACATCAACATTAATTTGTTTGTTACAGTTTGTTACTGACGTGTTTCTGATCGGCGAAGATTTTTCAAACTGTATTACAATTTATGTTGATCAATGGTTATGAAGCTCTTTTACTACCTACATTTGTATTTCATGGATACTTTTTCACTCAGTTTCATATGTTTTTGTAAAGCCTTTTCAGATTAAGGCTCTCCTTTACAATAGGGTCAGCCAGTACTCCATACCATTACCACCACTTTGACTCCATACCATTGCCACAGTCTTTGATTCACCAAGGTCAGATCTATGACATCATTCTGAGGAACAACGATGAGCTTTCTTAGAGAAGTTCAAGTTGGAGAAATCTTTTTGGCACATACTGTGGCCCAGTTGCTGCTGGCCAAGAGCGGTAATTAGTGTGCCGGCCCACTCACCTAATGATCTTGATTAAGACATGAAAAAACACAAAAATTAAGTTATAAAATTAAAATCACCTCCCGCCACAGTGCTGACATCACCGTTGTTTGTTATAAGGTGTGGCTGATCGACAGGTTGATAAAACTATTTAGCAACAAGGCTTGGCTAACTGCATACAGCGAGGCTAACGCTTTATTCTGCTTCCTCTGTCTCCTTCTTTAAACGTCAGGATCTGACCCAGCATGGATTAAGATAGGTATGACTGATTTACAGCACTTTCCAGAAAATTTTATAATGTCGTTTTTCGTTTTTGGCATTCATATGAATATACTGGTGTGATAACTTAGGGTACGTTTGATTGCTTTTTGGGATACATCTATTTTGATTGTTATAGCCCCCCCTGGAGAAAACTCCACCAGCTGTCAATGCTGTGGCCCTGTTGGCATCTCCATGCCATGATATTCAGTCCTAACTACCATGAGTGCAATGGTGAGCATGATAGTTACAATCTTTGTTTCTGGGTTGACTCTGACATTTCTGGGCTTCTTGTGCTGAAGCAATGGCAGAATGGTAGAATAGTAGGTAGGTAGGTAGTAGGTAGTTGCCTGTATAGACTAAGGCTTTGTCTTTGGTAATGAGGGCATCATCCTGGTTTGTGCTGTTAAAGATGTAAAACTAAAAATAAAAGATCTGCATTTACTGTTTCTTTCATTTAAGTTTCAACTCAGATCATTATATTTAGATTATGAATAAAAAGTTCTACAACTACAAGCTAAAATTAATCTCCTCTCTAGGATTGCTGGACTGAAGCTAATAGACAAAGAAAGAACGTCCAACATCTCCAAAGAGCTCAATCTGGAAATGCATGACTTCTAAAAGTTTCTCTTTCTTTAGTTTGAGGTTATGCACCATTTCAATAGTACACCAGGTGGATAATTGAACTTCATTGATCTCACATTGAAAAACTTTACCTCTGCATTTAACCCATCCCCTTGGGGAGCAGTGGGCTGCCTTCGTGGGGCACACAGGGAGCAGTGTAGGGTTAAGAGTCTTGCTCAGAGACCAAAATTGGCAGTCTATGGGAGTGGGACTCGAACTCAGAATTTTAAACTCTATGCCCTAACCACTAGGACACCACTCCCCTTTCAATCCAGAGCTCACTGGCAGAACTATACCTTCTGTCTGTCCAGGGAATAGCTCAGAATTCCCTTTCCAGGAGAGAGAGAGGGTGTTGCCAAACAGGTACATTTCTGGGCTGCCATCCTGGATCTGGAACAACAGCATGGCTTCATGTAATCTAAAGTCAATAGATGAACTGACTGTCTAATAAGACTAACCAGAATCCTAAATACTTGATTCAAAATACATGCAGAGAAATATGTTTTGTGTTTTGTTTATACACCGTTAAATATAAATATAAAAGATCTTTAGTTTATGTGATTTTAATCTGAAAACAGGATTAGAGCTGCAGAAACCACACTTAAAATGGCCTAAACACCACCCAACTTTATTCAAAATGACCTGGTTTAACTTTTGATCTTCAAAAAAGTTGACTCTAGCAAAAATGCTGCACCCTCTGGTTAATCATCTCAGAGGTGGAGTAGACGTGGTCCTGAAATTCAACACTGCGCCACTGAAAGGAAGGAGTCACTGAAAACATCCAGATATTTGAGAGTCACGTAGACAAAGAGAGCGAGTTACCTCTGAGTGTCTTTCTGGAATCTGATCAATGGGCTTGTTGCTGCAGTGACCTTCAATAGGAGAGTAGATAGGACACACATGCACTCACACTGAGCCAACAGAATGAGTGAGAAAACAAAGATATGAACTCATGCTGACACAGAAGACAGGGTTGTTGAGAAGTACAGGAAGCAAAACAGTGTTTGCTACAGTACTAGTCATGAATTAACATGAAGAAATTACTACTTAGGACCAAAGTTTAATTTGTACATAGAAAATCCTTACATAAACACACATAAATAGCTACAACAAAATTGTGGATTAGTCAGATAACCAAGTTGAATATGTCCAACATACAGTCGCATAAGGGTACATTTTCCAGATGCCAATGACTCCTCAACCAGTTCTCTTTAAAGTGGATAAAAGGTCTCGTCACATCTCTGCTTTAACAACAAATTTCATCATGATCATAATGAAAGGGTGAAATGAAGAACATCTGATGATTTCAAGGCTGAAACTAAAGGGTCTGTTTTGTTTAGCCCAACAGACTGAAACAAGCCTTTGCAGTGATGGTCGTCTGACCCTGATCCCCCTGCTACAGTACCCATTTTGCAGCCTCTCCAGGATGCGCACACTTGGTTCTCTGACCTCTAGCCCACTGCCGTCACCGCTATGTCTAAGATTATTTTGCTATAAAACAGATTTCTATGGAGTTTATGGTTATCTGAAAGATTTAAAGAAATATTAATCCTACTCCCTCCAGATGTGGGGTTAGTGGAGCTGTTAGAATATCTAGATGGGTTGGAAATGGCTTTATTAGCTGATAAATCACTAATAAAAAAAAAAAAAAAAAAAAAAGACAAAGTAAAACAAACACCTTCCAAATGATAAAAAAAAGCATATTTAGCATGCAAAGAAGTTGTTCGGTAAAACACAATCTTTCTTAGTTTACCTTTTGTGTTTTTTAAATTAATTTATTTATTTTTTAACTCTTTATTAAGCAGCGTTCCAAGTGCACACAGGATCATTTGGTTATTAACGCAGATGCTTTATATAAATAGAGAAAACGTAATTTTCCAGGTTTTAGGAGCTTCAGCTCAATGCTCCATAACGTGGTGCAGATTGCAGCCTTCCCTGGAACGTATTAGGGAATTTGGCGACACCTTGAGGTTGTTTAAATGAAAGAGGATGTTTGTTTACCACAGACCACCTCTCTCTAACGCTGTTTTTTTATGATTATTATTTTTTTGCTTGATATCAACATTACCCAATTATTGGCCTAGATTATTGTTGCAAACAGCCTCTTTGGTTTGTACCTCTTTTAATAACTTCCTCTTTCTTATTTTAGGTTTACTGAAATCAAAAGATGGATATCTATGACCCCCAGACTCTTGGGATTATGGTGTTTGGTGGTTTCATGGTGATCTCTGCTGTAGGGATTGCCCTGGTTTCCACCTTCTCCATGAAGGAAACTTCCTATGAGGAGGCTCTTGCTAAACAACGCAGGGAGTTGGGTAAAATACAGTCGGTTCGCTCAGAAAAGAAGAAAAAAGACAAAGTAGCAGAGAAGAAGACTCGTGGGAAGAAAAAAGAGGAAAAGCCAAATGGAAAAATCCCAGACCAGGAGAAGTCTGAAGAAGGTGCTGACTCTGAAGCTGAAGCAGCCATTGAGCCCGGTGCTGCTCCAGCTGTAGCTGCTGTTCCTGCCACTGAGCCTGCTCCACTGGTTGACGTCAAACCATCTGCAGCCCCAGTAGTTGTGGAATCTCAACCCAAGCCTGGAGCTGAGCCTAGCTTAGCTGCTGAGCCCTCACCTGTGCCCTCTCCTAAGGAGAAAAAGAAGAAGAAAGTGGCAAAGATTGAGCCAGCCTCAACTCAGCCAGCCCCCACAGTGGTGTCTGCTCCCGCACAAGTAAAGTCTTCAGCAGCCTCTTCTATGACCCAGGCTCCTCTGTCTGCACAGACCAAAGCAGCCCCTTCACCCTCTGCGCCAGCTTCAACCAAGTCTGCAACAGCATCTGCAAAATCTACTTCTACATCTACAAAGTCTGCTCCAAATCCATCCACCAAATCTGCCCCTCCTCCAGCCACTGCCTCAGCATCAACCAAGTCTAGCAACACCCAAGCTAAATCTGCTGCCCCTGCACCAAATAAATCTGCCCCTGCACCAAGCAGGTCTGTTCCAGCCACAGCAAAGTCCACACCAGTTCCATCGAAGGCTACCCCAGTGCTGGAGACCGTCACCAAAGATGTCCCTGTGATGGCTGTGCCTCCGGTAGGGTCTCAGCAGGCTCCAGCTGCTCCAAATAAAACACAGGAACCCAAGAAAAAAGCTTCCAAAAAGAAGTCAGAGTCCGGTAAGCACACGTCCAAACCGCAACATAGCTTTATATCCGTTATTAAACTGTTATTGACCAGTATTGCTTTTTAGACTAACACTGCAGAAATTAGTCTTGTCCTTTGAAGTGCAGGAAATGGTCATGGAACCAGGAACTACATTAGCCACAACACTGATGACGGGGTGTTTTGTGTTGCTGAATAGAGAGAGAAAGAGAGAAGACATGCCTGCATAGTTGGGTTACATAAATGTCCAGGCAGAAACAACCTGTTGGTATTGATGATCTACCAGCTGTGTACCCACAGTACCAAGGGGCAGACGTGGGTAACGTCTGACCCTGTGCTCTGAGGGGCATAGAGCACAGCAGCTTGTCCAAACACTGTTGGCCCTGTTTGGTTAGCTTACAAAGCTTTTCAGTGCCTCTTACAATGAGCAGAGAGGAGGGGCTGACCTTCTCCTTTTCCTGAGGCTCGTCTCTGCCTGGTGCCACAACAACCCAGCATTTTTCTGTCTAAAAATGACCTGTGCCACAGACTTGTAGGGCCAACTCTGGAGCTCCAAAATGTCATGAAATAAAATAAAATATTAAGATTTGTTTTAAATGATAAATTTATTCGTTATTATCTCTGATGTTGTTTTTTTGTTTATGCCTCTTCAGCAGCAGCAGCGGTTGATTCTGCCGACGCTCCTCTGTACCTGCCCTATAAAGCTCTGGTTTCCACCATCAGCAGCATGATGTTCAGTGAGAGAGAGGCGCACCGGCTCATTGAGATCCTTTCTGAGAAAGTCGGCACCATTCAGGATACCTGGCACACGGTATGAAATGAAGCAGCCAGTGGTTGGGGTGGGTGGAGGGGTAACATAAAGAGAGAGAGATGTATTCTTTTCTTTTTGCATTGTGTGTTTTTAGGCCACTCAAAAAGGAGATCCGGTTGCCATGCTCAAGAAGCAACTGGAGGAGAGAGAAAAGCAGCTGGTAGCAGAGCAAGAGGATGCTTCTGCTGCAAAGAATCGTCTTCGAGAGATCACTAAGGTTCAAAATCTAAATACGCATCACCCATTCTGTCTGTTGGCATAGTTTAAAGCTGATGGTTGTCTTCCACTTAAGATTTTTTATTAATTTGGCTAAAGAGAAAGTTTTGGAGTGAGAAGAGTTTTATTTTTTCATGTGGGTAAAGGTTTCTCCATAAAGTCCTGCCCCTCCCCCAACTGCTCTCAAGTACTTTGATGTTTTACTTTTACCTTGTAATTTAGGAGGCAAATTCAGGAAACAATTCTCCTCTGAAAAAGCTTTTTTCTTTCTTTTTTTTTTTCTTTTTTTTTAAGGGTTATGGTTTTTCTGAGCCTGAGATTGAATTTCATTGCACTGTACATGTGACAGTGTAAAGACAATTAAAAAAAAATGCTAGACAATGTGCAGATTTCATGAACATGTAAAAAACAATCTTCACCCTCTGTGAGATGGAACTTTAATATAAATCCAATTGGTAAAAAGGTGAAAGGAAACAGATGGTTTTATAAATTTTGGCATTGTCATTTTCTATTTTATTTGTATCAACAAGGCCAACAGAATAGCAATAAAACAAACAAAACTTGTCTAGGGAGCCATAAGGGTTAAATAAAAGCAGCTGGACTTTATTAAACTTTTTCTTTTCTTTTGTAAAACTTTAGTATAGCACTTAGTGTCTTAATGCAGTGCAGAATTGATTTTTAGCCCATTCTTATTTAGAAACAAACAGATTTTTTGGTATCTTCTATTTTTGGTTAATTGTGGAAGATTATGATTTACAATTTCTCTTGGCCTTTATTGTTTTTTTTTGTGTCCTATAGGTGGCAGCAGAGGTAAACAAAAGATGGCTCAACAAATAAAATCTCATTAAATAAAATATCGGATTATTAAAAAGCCCTTGTATTGGAGTCAGAATCAACCCAATGGGTGGAAAACTTTTCAGCTAGCCTAGGCTTATATTTTCTTAATATTTTTAATTTAATTTAGTTTTGTCTCACTGCCCAAAATAGATTTAAAACAAAATAACCTTCGTTAACATTAAACTTTCAGGATACAACACATTTTGACAGCATCTCTTTTTAGCAACTATAATGAAATTAATTTAAGATATATTGTGAAATGGCCTGTGTTGTAATCGTTGTTCAAACCTTATTTTTTTTCTAAATTAGGAGTTAAATAATGTTAAATAATGATCAAATTGTAAGACCAAAGCCTCGTTTTGTAATGTATGAAATGAAAGCAGTGACTGCTGCTTTCTAAGGTTCTTCACTCTGAAGTGACTGTGCAGCAACAAAAGCATGAGATGAACCCTAATGGGTCTGACTGTACTTTACTTTTTATCAGGAGCTGTCGGCAGAGAAGTCAAAGGTTGCCAGTGTGGAGACCCGGCTCAGCTCTCAGCTGAGTAAGAGAGAACAAGAAATGATTGCTCTGCAAGCTCGCATGCAGGCCAGTTACCAGGACCATGTAGCCCAGACCCAGAGACTCAATGCAAAGGTTGGTTCTTTTCATCTTATGATAAAGTTTACCAGAACTTGAGTTTTGGATCTTCATCTGCTAAAATGAATTGCATTATATTCGAGTTGTCTTTTTTTCAGTGCTTTTCTAGCAATATTGATGTCAAATCTTTATAATGCAGATCCTGAGCCTGCAGGACCAGCTGGAAAAAGGTCCTAATGCCCAACTTGCTCGTCTACAGCAGGAAAATTCAATCCTCCGTGATGCCCTAAACAAAGCAACTAGTCAAGCTGAGAGCAAGTGAGTTCATAACTATATTTAACCTTAAAATTTAAATCATGGAGATAATTTCAGAATTTTGCCATGTTTTATTTACTTTATTTTTAAAAACTCTCCATTTTGTTTCATTCTGTGCACAGACAAAATGCAGAGCTGGCCAAGCTACGTCAGGAATGTGCAAAGTTGACCAAAGAGCTGGGAGAGAAGACTGAAAATCTGCTTGCTGATGAGCACGTCAGAAAAGGGCTGGAGTCCAAGCTCTCTGCTGCAGAGAAAAAGCTCACACTGCTGCAGGTTGGCACAGCCTGTGGGAACGGCACATTTTTATTATACTATACACGATCTGTTCTCAGGTTTCCATGTGGAAGCAGTTTTTTTTTTTTTCTTGCCGTTTTCTAATAAACCCAGTGTCGTCTTTCAACAGCCGTTTGGCTATGGAGTGAAGAAAAATGTAAGGCTTTTGCCGCCTATTCCCTGACCTTCTCATGTTCTGGGAATGGGTTCCTGTTGGGCTTAAGAATTAGTGTAACAGTAGGATGATTAATCTGCAAAGGGGGAAAAAAGCTGTAAGATTCTGTATCAGTTCAGTTTTATTAAATATTTGCATAAGAACTATAATTTAGAAAAAAAGAAAAGTAGACCCTACCTCACCCCAAAACACTGACAGAGCTGTTAAAATTTCCCAGCAGAACAACAAAAACCTGGGAACAGAAATGGAAAAATAACAATTTTGTCATAAATATTCCTTAGACTAATAAAAATGTCATTTTTAAAAATGCATTTAAAAGTACATACTTTGATAAAGAAATAAATGTATACTTAATAAATGCATAAAAATATGTTACAAGTAAAGTAAGGTAAAATAAAATGAGCATGTTAAAAAACTGGATAAAAACTTACAACTAGGGAGAAAGAACATACAAGCAATTAGGACTGCATTTAAAACAAAAATGTGCAATTAAAACTAAAGATGAAAGTGAAAGCTCATCCTCCTTAGATGAAATGAACAATAAATCAAATGTAAAAGAAATCTTTAGTGCTATCCCAAAAATCCATTTAGTTTTTTCCCATTTTTTAAATCATTATCTCATCTATGAATTTTTTCATCCTTTAAATATTAAAAAACTGTAGCCCTCATCAACATCATGGGGCAAAATTAAACCATTCTTTACATGCTGCTTTGGCTTTACAAGATCAGAATGCCACAAACGGCCCCAGGGTGGCGCTTTAACACACCTCTCTGCACAGGATGCTGTTAGGAAGCAAGATATCTGAAACATTTCGTGTCCTGTTTCAAACAATATTATTTTAATGTCACTTGATTATCATAACCCCCAAAGACTGCTTCATCTTGAAAACCTTTTCCAAACTAAAAACAATTTCCAATGAGACTGTAAAACTGGTGTTTCTTTTTTTTTTCTTTTCTTCGTTTTAACTTCCTGGTTTGAATTCAACCCACATGGCCTACATATAGGAAGAACATCTTTAACCGTTGATTCGCACATTGCCTTGTACAGTCAGGGGCTCACATGCTGTGGCTCCTTCCTCTTTTGCTGGATATTTGAAGTGATTAAGTCAGCACAACTGATAGGCCTTTTTGTTTATTCATAAACTTGCAGACCACCACAGCTGCTTTATGCTTGTGAGATTGTCAGCAGGAGTAGTTAGAGCCCTATTAGCCCAAGAGTTGTTTGATTTATTTCTGAAATCTTTCATTGCACTTTCTGCAAGACAGTCTTGCAAAAACAGAATGGCTTAACAATGTTGGAATCACATCTTTCCTGCCAAATATTTTCTAATAATACGATAGGTGTGGCTTCTTTGTGTGTTTTGTAATCATTTCTCTAATTAAATTTCTTAATCTAGAATTGTGATAAATCTTTGCTGCCACCTGCTGTCTGATACATTTTAACCAAAACCCTCCAGGCAAGCAGTGCAGAAAGTGAGCAAGCATTGCAGAAGAGACTAGAGGAGGTGTGTGAGGAGCTCAGGACAACACAAGGCAAAAACAACAGCCTGCAAGCCACTTTGGAGAAGACCCAACAAGACAGTGGCGCACTAACAGGTCAGAGAAAGGCGCTGCAGCGTTTTGTTTATTATCACATGCCAAACAGTAGTGTAAAAATGAATGGCTATTTTTTCTATGCAGAGTATCAAGTGCGCATAGAGAGGTTGGAGGCTGAGGTCAAGGAGCGGTCTGCTCAGGTGGATACCCTCAATGCCCAGCTGCAGGAGACGCAGGTAGAGAAGAACCAGCTTACACAGCAAGTAGCTTCAATCAACTCTCTGTTGGAGGCAAGTCAGAGTAAACATGATGAAGACGGCAAGCAGGTAGGACAAATTTGTATTTCATATAAACTTTTATTTGGACATAGAGCTAAGTGATTGTAATCATTTCTGCTTCAGCAGGTGAATCCAGCTGAACTGGAACATCTAAAGCTGGGGTTAGTACATCATCTTTCTCTTCTAAAAGTATCAGATTAAAAGGTGTATTATTTTACAGCTTCTTTTTAAAAGCCATCTCACTTTCACAGCCTTCAAGAAAAGGACACCCAGTTGAGTGCACTTCAGGAGGAACTGAAGCAGCTGCAGATTAAGAAGGAAGCTGCTGTGAGTGTTTGAATCATTCAGTATTGACTCCATTGGTCATATGTGTGAAGCTACTGTTATTTATGAGGCTAACAATGAGAAATTGTGCCAATAGGAGAACACTATCGCTGAACTTGAGCAAAAAAATAAGAGGTAAGGCAGATTGGTTGGGGGGTCGGGAATCTATCAAATCCTACATGCTAACTGATGCAATTTTTTATGTGTGTATTTTAGCGAGGATGCCTCCCTCGTCACTTCACTTCAGGAAGAACTGAAAAACCTCAAAGAGGAGATGGTGCAAGTTAAAAACTCAAAAGTCAGTTTTACTATGAAATATGTGTAAATGTGTAAATGTATGTGATTCTATGGTCAGTGCAGCATTTCTGACAGAAACTACGTTTTATTCTGTTTTGACAGTCTGACAGTTCAGCAGAGATTACACAGCTGCAGAACAGGTAACCTTTTGCATTTTTTTTTACTTCACTCCTTATCATTTAAGGTGTTAATAGGGGATGTGGTGTGTCTAATCACGGAAATATGTCGTCTTCAAAATTTTTGTGTTGCATAAAACGCATCACTGGCTCAGGTATGCATGTTAGTCCTTGTGTTGGTTGTTAAACCACGAACATTAAATAGGGCCAGGACTTAAGACTAGATTATCCCATAAATCCCCAAATTTCCATACTAACTATTTATTAAAATTTAACACCTATAAGGTAGGAAAGGTTTAAAAAAATTCATAATTTACAGAACCTACTGATAATTAACCGGGTCTTGCTTAAAGCATTTTTTTAAATACCCTAAGGGCTTTAAGTGTTTCCAAAAATTTTAAAACTGGAATTTTTTCTATTTGCCAGTCTGTCTGAGAAGGATTCTCTCATTACTTCACTACAAGAGGAGCTCCGGGGAGCAAAAGCAACTACAGATCCTGTAAGTCTTCTTTTTTATATATATATATACATGCACAATTTATGTATTTTCATCTCTATTTATTTATTTTTTATTTTTTTGTATTATTTGTAAAGTGACCTTGAGTGTCAAGAAAGGCGCTGTTAAATAAAATGTATTATTATTATTATTATTATTATTATTATTATTATGATCCAACGTATCTGCCACTGCTGCAGGATGCTGTGGCTCAACTGGCAGCTCTGCAAAGAGAAACCAAAGAGGCTCTTCAGTCGCTCTTCCCACAGATACCAGTAGAGACGGAACAGGTAAGAAATGGAAATTACTGACTGAATCACTCTGCTGTTATGGCCAAAACCCCACATAATGATGATCTATGCGTTTCTTTCTTCTTTTAGTCCAACTGGTTGAAATCATTCACACAGGAAGCTCAGAAGACACTAAGCCAGCAGAGTCAGGAGTCCATCTCAACCACGGCTTCGCCGGTAAGTCACTTTTTATTCTCTTCAAATGTAAACTGATGAAAATGTTTTCAGATGTAGGTTTGAATATTTTTGTTGTCCATGTAGGAGATCCTGGAGAAACTGAAGGAATCGGAGGAGAACTACAGTTCCCTGCAGGCTGAATGTGATCAGTACAGGACTGTCCTGGCTGAAACTGTAAGGGAATGAAATCATAACTGCATGGACTAGTATTTTCTTTTTTTAAGTCATATAAATACCTTTGGCTTGATTGTCACACAGGAAGGAATGCTGAAACATCTGCAGAAAAGTGTAGAAGAAGAGGAGTTGGTTTGGAAGTCAAAGATGGCAAACTCAGAAGAACAGCTGAAGGAGGTAAAATAAAACCAGACTGTTTGTTTTGGCACCTTCAGCCTGTTTAAGACAAATATTCACTGTCATGACTCTGACCTGGCAGGCGTTGCAGAAAGTCGGCAAGCTGGAAGCAGAAAACCAAAGTGTAGAACAGGTTGGTTTCTCACCATAAAACCCATTTTCATGTAATTGTAGTATAAAAAGTTAAGATTTTCTATTTTTTTTTTTTTGTTGGTTTTTGTAGCTGAAGGAACAAATTATGCTTCTGGAAGCTCAGCTTGAAAAACAATCAGATAACCCAATGACCTCAGAAGCAGTGGAACAGGTACAAGAGCAGAAACCTCTTCAGTAAAGAAACAGATACAAGCAGTATTTGTTTTCTGCTGAATCTTTGTGTCACATTTAGAGCCTCTCAGCACTGTTTACATCTATGTAACATTTTATCATTTTACAACCACTGAAGTGTATTAATTGTCTTGCCCGTTTATTAGCTAAACCAACACAAAGTATGTGGAATTAAAATAAAATAAAAAGTTTCTGTCTACTTAAAATCCATACACACAACTCTCAAAAGCTTGGCCTACATCTGTATTTACACACTTCAGTCAATATTATGTAGAACCAACCTTTGCTTTTCAATGAACATCTCTACCAAATTTACATGTTTGGAGACAGACATTTTTGCTTATCTTTTGTGAAATAGTTCAAGCTCAGTCAGACCAAATTGAGAAGTTTTATACATTTGTTTAGGTCCTGACAGAAATTCTTAGTTGGTTTAAGGTTTGAAATTTGACTGGACCACTTTTGACGCATGAATATGCTTTGAAGTAGTTTAGCTTCTAAAATTGCTATATGATCAACTCCATCAGATGTCTGAATACATGAGCATGGGAATTTAAGTTAAATTGAATGCTTTTGATTTTGCATTGCTAATCAAACCACAGATAAAAATGTAGTAATTAAGAAAAAGAAAAGGTCACTTTTCTTTTAGCCGCTGGAACCATTTAGTAAGATGTTTAAGTTGAATTGTGATTTAAACAATTCATTGCCCATTTGTTTTTTACACATTTATACAACATCATAGTTATCACAAGCTGTGCTTTCAAAGAATCTGTCCTGTGTAGAAGAAACCATTAACTTTTTGAAGTCGGCTGTTCATCAACATTGAGTGGTGAGAGGTTAAATTTGCAATGTTTTATTGTTTTATTTTTAATTTTATTTGCTGCAAGATTGGTAAAAGTACTCTGTGGTCTAGAATATAAGACTTAAAGAATTTGTTTTAAGTCTGGAAAATGTATGGAAGCTTGAAATGGAAATTGTGCAAGTTGCTTGAGGAAAAGTTTATTTCTGACTAGAACACAATATCTTATACAATACCCCCCACCCCACAAATTCTTGGCTAAATGTTACTTTGTGTTGGTCTACCCAATAAACCCAAATAAATGACATCAGTTTGTTTGAAAAGCTGCAAATTAAGATGGGGAGGATTTCTATTAATGGTACTAAAGCCATTCCCACCTAACCTCAGTTCCCCTCTGCTCAGCTGAAGCTGCAGTTGTCAGATTGTCAGAACCAGTTGGATTTGGCCCAGAAGGATGTCAAGGCACACAAGGAGGAACTTCAACAGGTGAGTTTTATCTAACATGCCCTTTTTTGTCCTTATAAATGCAAACATGTACAAGTCTATTTATAAAGTGACTAAATTAAGAGGGGTGTGGTGTTATTTATGACATGAGGGATTTGTGGAAATCCTTCCATTATGCTCTCAACCTGCTCCGTAAGGTGTTGCTTTCATGCAAGAACACAAGGGATTCACAAGTGATTATGTAACGAGTGATGGGCAACGGCTTCCTGTTTCAGGTCAAAGCGCAGCTTGGTGAGCTCATGAAGCAGACTCAGGGAGAGCAGAATGGCCCAGCTGAGGCTGAAACCAGTCAGGTGAGGGTGCGAGGATCACTGGGCACCCTTCACTTCCATGTCAGCAAGTACTCGACAGTGACTGGAACAGCAATCTAGAACAAGCCTTAATGTGGCTTGGTTTACCCTGAAATAAAAAAAAACAGTTGTTGGTCATTAGAGTTTGGCTGATCTGTGCAATAATGAGGCTATACAGCATAAGTAAACACAGATGACCTGACGATCAGGGCGTGCTTCAATTCCAGTCTGTCCAGTACTCCTCTGACAGTGGCTCTGTATGCTAACCTGTTTGCTTTGACTAAGTTCTCCTAACTCTCACTGCTGCTCTTCCTCTGCTACATATGTTAGCATGCTCAGCCCTCTTTTAACTCTTTTTCCTCACCATAATCAGAGTAGAAAACCCTTTCTGAACTTTAACATTACACCTAAAATGCCAGGAGCAGAAACTTAGACCGGCTTCTGTGTTTATGGGTGTGTGCTGATTTGACACATGCATGTCTGGATAGGTTTGTTTATGATGTGTGTTTCTGTGTGCTTTCAGGTCCAGGACGAATTGAGTCGGATGACAGTAAAGCTGCACGGGGAGGAGACCCTGAGGCAGCAGCTGTCAGAGGAATTTGAGCAGGTAGGTTATCTGTGCTCTAGTTTGACGTTCTCATTAAATGTAGTTGACAACATTGAACCGTCTCTTTGACTTCCAGGCTCAGAAGACAGTAGGTGAACTACAAGCCCAGCTGGATCTTTTAAAAGCTTCTTCAGATGCGCCACAGTCGGACACAGAAGATTTAGCTCAGCTTAAGGTGTGTGATGAAGGAACTAGATACACATCAGCTGAGCACCTTCCGATCCTGCTGTATTAACACTTTACATTATTCATCATTCAGTAGAAGCTACTAAAATCAGTCAGCACTGTTGTAGAAGTGAGAGAACATTGATCTAAAGCATTGTAGTGTTCAGGGAATTTCTCCTTTTTCAGATAAATCTTAGCTCTACTTTCAAGTCTTGTTGAAACTTAAAATTTTCAAAAGGATTTCTTCTAGGATTAAACTGTATCTAAAGCCTTTCTTACTGTATATCAGCCTTGACCTTTGCACCTAGGCCTGAGAGGTTGATTCTGATCTCCAATAGTGACTGGTTTCTGTTCTTCCCATTTGCAGTAAGACATTCTGTGGAGCTTTTCAGTGGCTCATTTCTTTCTTCTCTTTAATAAAGTCCATAGGTTTATAGTAAAAGTTGATTCCCCCAGCTTAGCTGTGGATTTCTCCAGCTCCTCCAGATGCCATGCATCTCTAGGCTGCTTCCCTGATTTAGTTCTCTTGTTTCTAGACCGATCAGTTTAGCTGAACGTCCACATATTGGAAGGAATTCAGCACTGATACCTTCCAAATGAATGGGAACAAAGCTTTCTAAAATATTTAAAACTTTGGGATATTATTTTACAATCAAAACATGACATTCAGTCTGACCCGCCGGCCTTCGCAGACCTCTAACACACATCAAGCCTTTAAATGAAAGCTTTAAATTCAACTTGGATTGAATTTATAGGTATCAGAATTTTACTATAGGCGTTAGAAAAAATGAAACCCTTTTTATAATTACGCACTAATACTACACATGCATAATTTAAACGAAGTGAATGTCAGAATTAAACATTAACATTAAAGCACCATTTGTAATCCATCTCTCACCACAGTTGGTGACCATGCAAAGGTTACCAGTAGTCATTTATGTCAACCTGATTTTACAAATAGATTATTTTACCTTAAATGCCTTAAAAATTTCCTCGTTCATTCAGTCTTCCTCACAATTTCTAAAAGTTGTATAAATTTCACTTATTGATGATGTTTACCATTATGTGAACAGGAGCGCCTTGAGAAGGAGAAGAAGCTGTCCAAAGACCTTGGCCAAGCAGCCACTAAGCTCCAGCAGCTTCTTAAAGCCACTCAGGAGCAGCTGACCAAAGAGAGAGAGACTGTGAAAACACTACAGGAGCACCTGGAGCACAAGGTGGGTCTGATACTGCTTTGAAACACACAGGCTGTCTTTAACCTTATTTTGTTTCTAATATGTCATGTTTCTTTTGTGTGTTTTTTTTTTTTTTTTTTTAGGGAGAAATTGTGGAACTGAAGGAAGGAACATCTGTCTAAAATCTTTTTTTTTTTTTTTAGGGAGAAATTGTGGAACTGAAGGAAGGAACATCTGTCTAAAATCTCTGGGAACGCTACCATAAAGCTGCCAAATATGCCTTATGATTACCTAGTTATGCATTCCAAATTTATTCTTCTTGTACTGTAGTTTGCATTTTGTTGCAACTGTAGGGATCAAATATTTTTTTGTAATGAAGATTTCAGCGTAAGATTAGTGGAGAGAATCCTGCTGCAGTCTTTACTGAAGCTCACATTCCATCTACAATTCTGACCATGTCAGAAGTTATTTATCCCCTTGCCTTATATTCCAAACATTTCCTCATAGTTCAGTGTTAAAAGGGAACATGAAGGCACGTCAGACGTGCTTCAATCTGTGCAATTACCTTGTATGTCTTTTCTATGTGGTTGAATGATGGGAACATTTTATGGTTCATTGTAGAGCCTGCTTTCCTCTGCATCTGGCTGACAATACATCAGATTGGTATGAATGAATAAACTACAGTTTAGCACTATCTACTGCTGTTGAGTTCATATCTGTGGGGGAAAAAAAGTGAATTTGAGCGAGTCAAAGAAAGTTTCAGGTCTAACCTGTTACCTCCACCCATGACATCATCTTCCATGACATGTAAGACCCAGCAGGTGGATTAAGGACAGATGAGCTCCCCTTTGAGAATGGTGGTTTCTGATTTGGCTCACTACAAAGGCTGGTCCAGTCTGGGAGAGCGTAAGGAGCGCATTGAGGGGTGAGGATGAAAAAACGTAAGGCTATGGACATAGACCCAAATTTATATAACAGAGAAAACTGCAATACATGGGCTGATTAAACTTTGATGTGTTCAGAATCTGTAGAATGGTTTGTAAAATATGAAAACTATTACCCTTAAAGCAACATGAGATTATCTTCAGTAATTGAAAACTATCTTATACATAATATATTTAGTTAATGCTTATGTCAGTCTTTATGGCTTAAAGATAAAAGCCTAACATTAAGTTTCTCTGAAAATTGTAATGTCACATTGAATCAAAGTAGTTTAAATAGAGAAATGAAAAATATGTTCAGATATTGTACAATATTAAGCCCTCAATACGTCTATATTAATTGCTGCACCAGTGCAGTGTTGGATCCAAGGGTCTAATGGAAGCCCAGGTTGTTTAAAAGTTTTATACAGTTTGCTGGATCTAGTGGGCTCACCTCTATTACTTAATCCCCCATAAATTGCAGTGGGGGGTGGGTTAAATCAAGCCAATTTAATTTGCACTACCATAGTAAGTGAACCAACTTTTGGTTGATGTGGGCAGGAGGCAAGTCCTGCTAGAAGATGAAATCAACATCTCATAATTCTGGACAACATAAAGAGGCGTTAGGTGCTGTAACATTTCCTGCTAGGTGCTGTGTTGATTTTGACCATCTAGAAACACGGATCAACACCAGATGATGACATGGCAGCCCAAACCTCACTGAATGTTGAGAGTTCACATTGGATCTAAAGCAATGTGTATTAATTGCCTGTCCATGGAATAAAATGCTAAATTAGAAACTTAGAGGACTTTGGATCCAGGTCTCTCCTATGCCCAGATTAGACATACAGTACCATATATTAATTCTCAGGAGTGGCTTAACACAAGGAATGTGACAGTCCCAACCCTGTCCTGAATCCCTGTGTGTGTTGTCCCTCCTAAATCACTGAACCTCACAATCCTCTCAGGGCAGTTTTTTGCCAGACCTCTTTTCAACCTAATTGGCTTCTTTCAACCAAATTGATATACCTATAAATAGATACACTAATTTGTTAAATAGCCTGGTTCTGATGACTTATAGCTTACCCTTCCAGAAAAATGTGTGAGCTACTAAATTGTGTTCATGTAATATTTTCTGATTCATTTTGGGGTTGTGATGAGTTGTAAGCCTAAACCATAATATTTACCAATACTTATCAATTTCACTCTGCATGAAATTAATCTAAAGTTAGTGTGATATATGTATTGTTTAGATGTAACAATACATATATTGTTACATCTAAACAAAACAGTAAAGGAACCCAGGGCCTTTTTAAATCTCATATCCTTATAAGATCCTGTTTAGTTCCCCTACATGTGCACTACATGTACATCACCCAAAAAATAAAGGGACACTCAAATAACACAGAGCTAAATGAAGGAAAAATACTAATTGTATTATTTGTTCTTTAAAAATTGGAATATTCTGACAACAAAAATCATCAGTGCAATGAAATATCAATAAAAGTCTGGATTTGGATTCACACACAAAGTGGAAAAACACACCACAGGCTGACCCAGCATTGATGTAATGGCCTTAAAACAGGTCAAAATGAGGTTCAGTATTGTGTGTGGCCTCCACCTCCCTGTATGACCCCCCCACAATGCCTGGGCATGCTCCTGATGAGGTGGCGGATGGTCTCCTGAGAGACCTCCTACCAGCCTGGAATAAAGCATCGGCCAATTCCTGGACAGTCTGTGGTTCAATGTGAGATTGGTGGATGGAATTGAAACTTGATATCACAGATGTGCTCAATCAGATTCAGGTCTGAGGGAGGGGCGGGCCAGTCCATAGCTTCAATGCCTTCATCTTGCAGCGACTTCTTACCCACTCAAGTCACATGAGGTTTAGCATTGCATTAAAACTAATCCAGGGCTAACTAAACCAGCATTTGGTCTCCCAAGGGGTCTGAGGATCTCATCTCAGTACTTAATGGTAGTCATGTTAGCTCTGGCAAGCACTTGGAGGGCTGTGTGGCCCTCCAAAGAAACATCACCCTACACCATTACTGATCCACTGCCAAACCCATCATGCTGGTGGATGTTCCAGGCAGATGATCACTTTCCATGGCGTCTCCAGACTCTGTTATGTCTGTCACTTCTGCTCAGTGTGAACCTGCTTTCATCTGTGAGAAGCACAGGGCACCAGTGGTGGAATTATCAATCCTTGTGTTCTCCGGAAAATGCCAAGTACCCTGCACGGTGTTGGACTGTGAGCACAAACCCCATCAGTGGACGTTGGGCCCTCATACCATTCTCATGGAGTCAGTTTCTGTCTGTGGAGGTTGCAGGTCATTTGCAGGGCTCTGGTATCCTCCAGGATTTTTGTCAAAATGTTAAACACTAAAGAAAAACTTAGGGAGATTCCAGCTTCCCGTTTTGTAATTGCTAGAATTTGGGCATATATCAAAAACCAAATTTTAACATACTCAGCTGAATTTTTAACCAGTTGAGTATGTAGTTTTCAAGCTCTGACCTCAGCCCTATTGAACAGATGTAGGATCAGCTTGGCTATGCTTTTCAAGAACAGTTTGACTTTCATAGGATACTATCCCAGAGCACCGTCTGACCAATGGTGACAAGCATGAAAATGAGGTGCCAGCCTGATTATGTGCAATTCTCAGAAGCACTGCTGAGGGGCTCAATTTGTTGAAAGTAAATACTAGTATTTGTCTCATTCCTCTACACCTCAAATTCAATGAAAACCACAGGGATCAAACAAATTTTTGAATGTAGAAAAAGGCCAATACAATTAGATATCAAAATTGTGGAACATACACCAAAATAGACTTGTAATACTAAACCATAAATTACACTCCATAACAGATGGTAATGAAAACCCTCAGGGTTTTTTTTTTTTTTTTTTTTTTATGCCTATGAGAAGATCTACAATGCTCTAACCCTGACTGTAAAATTAATGCCAAAACACCTTGATGGGACTCTTGTGATTGGAGCAAAGTAAAGCTACTTTCCCAGTGTAGCATACATGAACCACCACTGCTAACAGTCATATCCTGCCTGGGGCAAGAACCAGTTAAAAAAAAAAAAAAAAAAAAAAAAATTGTCACAGGTCTGATCCGACAGGAAGTACTTCTACTCTGCAATGTTCTCACATGTCAAATTCAAGGTCATCTAACAGTTTCAGCCTCTTTTCGACTGAAGTTAGACCAGGAAGTTTACTATACAATGGATGTGTGCTTTGGTTTTAGGCTTGATCCATATCTGCTTTTAAACAGACATTTTAGAAGTGAAACTAAACAGCATTTTGTTTTCCAAACTTGCAAAAGAAATCCATCGTGTGTGGTTTCATACTGATGTAGAAGAGCAGCAAACGCATTTAGAAATCAGCAGACAAGTTCCTGTCAAACTATTCCTTATTTGGGTCGAATCTGCGAAGTAGAAATGACGTCACAGACACTGCCGCATTATGACGGTTGCCCATTATAGTTTGCTCAGCCGAGAAACAATTACTTTCAGGAAGTTAAGGGTAATTGATGGACAAACTGTTTTTAGTGCTATTAAGTACCCCTCACTAGTGCTTACTGGTTAATTGGCTTTTCTGCATTTAAAAAAGTTATTTTACTTGTTACAGGTTTCTAAAGAGGGGAATAAAAAAAAAAAAAAGCACTAGTCAGTTGCACATTTTTCCTGCTGAAACACCTAGATGCTGAAATTACATTTTCAACCATGTACAATGCAAATTACACAAGGTTCCTGGAAGCATACAGAAATTGCAAAAACTCGTTTTCATTTACTTTATTTGACAATGCATTGATTTTTCAGTTCTTTTAGATACAAAGATGTACAGTACTTCCAAGTAGCCACAGTGTAATTGTCCAAAAAACTGCAGATGAGTCAAACTATGTGCCTAGCCACTCTGAGCTTGAAAATCTTGAAGGATTTTACAGCACAAGATCATATTAGCTGTATGGAATCACACAAGAGTTTAATCCACATTTACACAACTTTCTAAGGCTTAGTTAAGAGGAATTGAAGTGGCATGACAAATTTTACCAAATGGAGCAACTTTTGTTAAAGACCGGTTTAAACAAATTTAATCAAAATTATTAGAAGCCATCATGATCAGATTTTTCAGGCAAGTCAGAAGCAAATTGAATTTTACTTCCCAACAGGATGGCCTTCAACACTGATAACATTTCTGCTTATCCTTTCTGCAAATTGGTCCCTGGTTCCATAATCTGAGAGGTCGTTCATCTGCAGCTCATGTTTGATGCCTGTTTAAGAAAAAAAATATTGGAAGTAAAGACTTGTGCAAATTCAAAACTCTATAGTGCGTTTAAAAAAAAAAAAAAAAAAAAAAACATACCTGTCAAGACTTTCTTAAGTGAATCTTTTGAGCTAGCATACTGCATTTTGGATTTGATGGGTGCAGTTTCAGGAGCCCTGAAAAAGAAAAAAAAAAAAATATATATATATATATATATTCAGCTTGTCAATCCTCTGCAGGCTCCATATGAAAGACAGTTTTAAGTTCTCAAAAGAGAAGACTTTTTTGGTTTAGAAAAAAACTATAAATACCACATCACGAAGACTAGCTCCTCTTTCTTGCTCGACTCCTTGTTCTCAAAGTGGCAGTCGTACAGCACGTAGCGGCACTTTTCCTTTTCCAGAAGGCTCAGGAAGAACTTGAAGATGTCTGCCTCTCCGCTCAAATCCTTCTCTTTGAAGACCTTCTCCACTATAATAAAACCGTCTTTGATTTCCAAGACCACAAGTCTGATGCGTTCACTTGCATCAGCATCGCTCTTCACCACTTTCATGTCACTGATAATGTCCTTCACTTTGTCATCAACTTGCACTCCAGAAGCCTGAGGAACAAAAATCCATTTTTTAGATTGGAAACTACATATCCCCTTAATAACTACATCTCTAATGTTTGCATAAATTAAGGAGCTTCATTATAGCATCAGTCTTAAATCAGCATTGGGCTGTAAACTTCACAAAAAAAAAAAAAAAAAAAGTTAGAAACTTCCATAATCCAGACCCTTAAATAAAATCTGGGCCTGATTTGGTGCTCTGACAGAAACTTTACTTGTACTTTGGTTCTAAGAAGAAAAGCAGAACTGAATGAAGAAACAGGAAGCTCCTCACAACTTTAAGAATGACAGCAAAAATGTCAGCCCAGTTAAGACAGTCAAGTTCTCAAAGGCAAAAATAAAGATTAGTCTTTCTTCAAAAGCAACCCAGTGTTGGGTGCTTCCCAGCAGGGTTTAGGCCTTGGTTCAATCACATTCCTGTCATTCTGGAACAAGTTCGCACAAGAAACGCCGCCCTGAGGGATGCACTAAACCAGTTTCAAACACGTACAAAGCTCCCTCCATTTTGGAGGCAAACCACACCTTGAACAAACCCTTCTCAACATGCACCAGGTTAAACTGCACCCTGTTAAAAAGAAATCCCTCTCCCTAGAAGCTTCACACTACACAACTTCCAATTGAAATTACTTAGAAAGGAAAAAAAAAATTAAAATAAAAAGCTTGCACATATTTCAAAGGCATTTTAAAATAAGGAAGTGATTCAGAAAAGCAATTTCCTGAATTTTCATTTGGCAAAACAAAAAAAGTTGGAATCTTGTTCAAGAAGATTCAATATAAACACAGTTCACCAACTTCATATAAAAAAAACTCACTCACCATTGTGGTTGTGATATGTGGTAGAAAGAGGCTGCAGGGTAGAAAGAGGCTGCAGAGGAAAAATGGTAGCTGCTGTCAGAATGCTGAGAGGGTTATAAGAAGGAAGCAGGTTGACTCATACAGGCGGAGCTGCAATAAATGAGCACACCTCCAGCAGCTGACTCCACCCACATCTGCGCAGGTGTGATACAATTAATTTTATCACATGCAAAGCCCAAATCACAGTTTTTGCTATTAATTGGGATGCATTACACAGAGCAAACATCAAATTCACAATTAGCAGCTGAATTGATATTGTAAACACATTAACTTTGTTTTTCTAAGTAAAAACTCAGGTGTAAAAAATTTTGAGCAGCAATGCAAAGCCTTATATGGAAGTAACCTGTCCAAGTTTTGACCAATCTTCTGCTGAGACGCAAATGGGTCTCCTTTTAAGGGAAAAGGTAAGACAAGTGGAGACAGACGGCTGAAGTAATTGCAAAGCTACCTGTTGACACTGGGGCAACACATGCCAGTGATCACTGAGGGGTTTAGCTCCATATATGTTCAGCATTTGGACAAGCCTCATTGTTGCAGGAAGTAAAACAAACCCACACATTTTCATATGAATGGTAATGGTTCTGATTGAAAGAAACAATATGCTTTAATTTCATGCGCCTCAAACCAATACACTCTCCTGGAACATCCAGGATTGCAGCAAAGAATTTTCAGAAAGCTTAGACCCGGTCCCAGCACAAAGGAGGAAGACAAGTTTTAGAATATTGTGATCTGATGTATTTTGTGGAATGTAGGTCTCTTTATTCGATAGCCTTTACTAGTACTGATCTAAACACCCTTTTTCCCTCAGAGATGCCTTATTGCCTATAGCACAGATTCAACATAGTGTCAGGAACAATACTTAGATTCTGTGGTGCATATTTGCATAATAGCCTCATACAGCTGTTGCACTTCAGCCAGCTGCAAATCGATTATATCAAACTTGAACTTTGTGACCTGCCACTTAATTGTAATGAAGATAGCTGATAAATATAAAGCAAATACTTTATCCAAATAAGGATATCTTGTAACATTTACTCCACTAGAATATAAAGTGGTTTACATCATGAGTCATTTACAATTAGACATCTTCCTATATGGATTCCCACTGCTTGCATTGACTCACACTGCTTGTTTTTCTGTCACTCCAGATACAGAATGCTACAACGATCTTCTTTCTTCTTTTCAAAATATCAGCCTTTAAGTGGACATTTCAGTTTTTACATTTCTAAATCAAAAGTGCAATTAATTTGAAGTAACATCTATTTTCTATTAGCTGTAAGAAGAAAATCAAAATTGTAAACAGAAATGAAGGCTTGAAATCATCTTTCCTACAGGAAAAACTGTAGGACATCTGAAGTTAAAAACAGATCTTATTTTAGTTTTAATTTAAAACATGCTCCACATATATATAAAAAAAAAACCTTTATATGGTTAAAAGGGAAACCTCTTTGTTGAGGAAAGTGCCAAAATCAGTGTCAGTATTGCTCCTACAGTAGGTTTATGATTAATCTATTTTTCCCACAGGGGCAGATTTGTTTAAGTAGATAATTCTCCCTATAATAAAATAATTTGAAAACTGCATTTGGTGTTTCCTAGTTAATCTTTACAACAGCAGCGGTGCATTCTTGCCATTAGGACAGACTCTAAACATCTTGGCTATATCAGCTACTCCAAGAGGAAACATTGAGAAGAAGGTATATTTCTACTAGATCTTCCTGTAAATCTTAAAGTACAATGACCACAATTTAGGTTCAAATAAATTTTTAGTTGAAGTTAAGGTGATGTTTTTCTACAGGCTTCTTGCTGAACAATATGCATCAGGTCTTAGGTATTTTGGCTCCTTAAATAAGACAATTTTTTCCCACTTAAATCTATATACCCCAGATTCAAAGTGCCATGATTACTCATTGAGATCACTCTGAAATCATGCTGCTACACAAACACCTATTCGTTGTTATCAGTTTTAAACCCAGGTTTCCATGTTTGAGGTCAAACAATAGACTATAAATCTAAACTGTCTTATCAACCTACATAAGGAGCAAAATACTCATTAGTAGTTCCTTTGCACCTGTATGCACGCAGCAAAAGTTAAGTTTTAATTTACTTTTTGTTTTACATTTTTTTGTGTTTTATTAAAATTTGTCTTTTAATCTAAACCAGAAGAAGAGGTACAAGTTATCTAGCATGTTCAGTTGAAATTCTCTCGACCAACAACATCCTGAAGAAGCAGAGGCAAGAAAAATGCTCCTAATCTCCACTAAGGATAGTGTTCAGTTATTTTGTACAGACCAACAATTTTGGTGTAATATCCACCTCTTTCTGAGCTGAATCTAAATACAGATCCTCCGCCTCATCATCACAGTGACATTACTTCCCCTACGGGTGGACTTATGGTTTCAGTCACAGTCCCGCCCCACATCCGGACTGAAAATTGTTTCTTATGCAAGCACTAGATCCAGCTTAAATATGCATGATTTGCTCATGAAAGTATGAAAATGAGCACAAAGATTTTTGTTTAACTTACATTAAGGATCATTTGTTTAGCAATGATAAAAAGATTTTGTAGGAATGTGGTCAGGCTGGATTAAAACTGCAGACGGCAGCAATGTTGGAAGCAGCAAAAGGGGAAATACAAGTCAGTACTAAGCAGGGCAGGAAATGACTGCTACATATCTCTCTGTGAGCTGAAACCCTCATGCTGCTGCAAGCATACTGAGCTTGGCCTTAGCAATGATACAAGAGAGAGAAGAATGGAAACATGAGGGAACTGGGACATCTGCTGGTATGTGACAAGTAGTGAACTGTGTGGTTGAGTTATATTCGCAAATTTAACATCAGGAACCTGAATAAGAGCACACTATTACAAAAATAGGCTACAAATGTAAACTTTTACAGAAAACATTTAATTGGAATCCAAATTGTTTTCTTTATGTCTGTTTGCTTAAAGAGCAACACCAAACTCTAATCTAATGAACTTGTAAGACTGTACGATTTAATTGTGCTCAAATCTTCAATAATTTTCATTTCAATAAAAATGTTTCCACCGAAAAAAAAAAAAAAAAATCAGAAACGGGAACCAATAAATTTTTTTTGTGAAATTGACTGTGCATTCAATGAACAACAAGTGGCTAACGTTCTCCAGTCTAATGGGATTAACCAAGGCCAAAGTTTGCTAACCCCTGCCAAGTATAAATTCTAAGAATGAACACGGGATCAATGTAAGGTTTCTTCTTCTATAGAAAACATGCAGTTATGTCTAAACTGGATGGCATGATTAACACAATCTGATTGGAAAGTAGCAACCATTACATTAGCAGCTGAGACTATGAATTCAAGACATTTGGAACGGAAAACCTTTAATCGTACAGTGCAGAGGGCATGACATGAAGGATATTGACCCAGAAAATTATTTCTACAATGATTATTTGTGGCTACAATGATAGTTGTGGTTACAATACAAATTTTATTTTACAGTTGCTTTTGTATCTTTGCTTTTGTCTCTTTGAACCTCAGTCGGCCTTGGCAGATAGACGCTCACACTGAGCCTGGTTCTGCTGAAGATTTCTTCCTGTTAAAAGGAAGTTTTTCCTCTCCACTGTCGCTTCAAGCATGCTTAGTGTGAGGGATTGCATTCAAGTCAATGAGTTGATGCAATTAACTGGTTTTCCTTAGAAAGAAAACTTTGAATCAATTTGACTGTATGATCTGGTGAACTGTAAAGTGTTTTGAGATGACATGTGTTGTGAATTGGTGCTAACTAAATAAACGGAATTCAACTAAATTGAAATGAGCATTATAACAAGGGGTGAATATTGGCATGGGTGTTGCGATACGATAAATGTTACGATATTTGGGTTAAAATATCACGATATTCCAATGTCACTATATATTGCAATATTTTCCCCAGCTATCAAATTAAATGTATAGAAAGAAAAAGCAAGTGCTGTATATGTTCATCAGAAGATAGGGATTGTTTAGTTATTTTGGCATCCATGATGTTTGGGGTTTGGGTCATGACTGCCTCAACTACAGAAATGGCTCTGCTCTGCACAGCAAATGGGCTCCACAGCAATATCTACCTGAGTGTCGGTGCAGAGGTAGCCCGTTTTCCCTCATTGTTTTAGGTTAAAATGCTTTGTTTTAAAAAAAAGATTGATATCATATTGGGCAGCCGAAAATCACGGTATATTGCAGAATCGTTTTTTTCGCACACCCCTAATTATAACATGACAAATAAAACAGAAAATAAATCATACATTGCACATTTCAATTGTCAAAGCTTGAATGAAAACTTTAACACAGACTTTATTGGTCCCTTCACACAACCATTTAGCATCATTACAATATTGGAAATATGGATCAGTCATGAAAAGAGAATGGAAGTTGAGTTAGGGTGAACAAAGGTAGGAGCAGCTGTCTATGTGGTCAAAACATGAAAAAATTGAGGTCTCAGGGGTGGTCTAAGATGATTGCTAATTGCAGATGAATCAGAATGTGAGTGGGGAGATGACCAGATGGCACGGCAGAGGTCGGACAGGGTTTGATCATTTAAGTTTGGTCCAGGGAATAACAAGGAGGAGTGGAGCTGCCAGTGATAGTGTTAATACCAGAGTTTGTGTAGGAGTTCTGCAGAGTATTTCTTCGAGTCAAAGAGTTGTGAAATGGAGCAGAATCCAAGATGTGGGTGCAAAAACACAGAAGGGACTTTCTTCTGACAGACATACAAAAAGCAGGTCAATACTCTGAGAGTTTGGTATTACCACTAAGGTAACAACTCAGGCATCAGTATGCTGCCAGCAGGCTCCTCCTGTACCCATCAGCTGATGGGACTAATTGGCTGCAGCTAGGAACAATCAGGTGCAGAGAAGCCCATCCTATGAGCTCACTAGCGCCATCTGGTGGAACAATAAAAACAAAAAAAATACAAAAACAGACTAAATGTGTTCCCAAACTGTAATAACACACTGAATAAAATGTTCTCAAATAGACATACTTAGAAGGAAGGAAGGAAGGAAGGAAGGAAGGAAGGAAGGAAGGAAGGAAGGAAGGAAGGAAGAAAGGAAGGAAGGAAGGAAGGAAGGAACTTTATG